AGCGGCAACACAGCCAGAAAATGAAGGGGAGCCATCCCCAGGGCAGGGAGCAGGTCTGCTTACTGCGGCTGAAAGGGAAGGATCAGAAAAACAAAACCTCCGTGTAAAAACTAAGGTGCCAATAGCCACGCTGCTTATTTCAACAGCGGCTCGGGCAGGCTTTAGAAAAGCCAGGAATGAGACCTCTGAACAGAATTCTGACTGAGGCAATGTCCTTCATCTTTGGCTTTTAAAAGCTTCTAGAAAACAGATCCTGTGAACAACACTTCTGCGTGTCTCTAATTGTATGCAAGACCCTCAGACTTCTGCTGCAGTAAATGCCCCTGGAATTGTTAAATCAAGCATTGAATGATAATGATATCTTTTAACACGCTACAAAAGGTATGAAATTATTTATCTGCCTCAGGAGAATAACCCTGAAGAAATTAAGGTTACTGTTAGTCTCAGCTTGTTCTGAAATACAAATTAATTGGCCTAAGGGCAGCTGTGACAAGATGGGGATGGAATGAAAAACAGTGGCCATTCTTACAGTGCAAGGAAAGTTTGTTCCAGTTTGATACCACAGTCTTCAGAGTGTGTGTTAGCCTCAGCCTCTGGTTCTCCTGCTTTCTGAATGACAAAATAATAACTCCTTAAAAATATCTAGCAGCTTCACATCTAGAAGATTAATATACCTATTCAAAACAGGGGTGTACTTTCTTTTTTATCATTTATACATTCTCCATGGTGATTTATGTGGCTCACAGTTATCCCAGTGGAGTTATCCCTCATGCTTGTCTCCAAAATACAGGAGCAGGCAAAGCCTAAACCGCAGAAACTCAAACCCGGAGTTAAAAAACAGGTAGTGAATTTGTGGGGAGAACATGAACCAATAGATACCACTCCCGTTCTCAAATCCCCTTCTAATAACAAAGCATCTTCTTTATGATTCGGGGGGGGATGGAAGAGTGCATTTCCAGCTTTCAGTCTCTCATTCCCTGGATTGAAGGGAGGAGCATGGGGAGACAAACCACTCATCATGGGGAGGGGAGACAGCTCTCACTAATCCTTTTAGGCAATAAGGAAAACATGCTGCGGGGCTCCATACAGAATGAGAGCTAGTCCTCCTCAACCAGATTTATGCAGACTACAGTAGCAAGAGAGAAGACTGAAAGCCAGGAAAAACAGTAATAGATGAAAGAAACAAAAAACTGTGGCTCTGCAAGCCTGATGCAGCACGAATTCCTAAGGGAAAGTATATATCATACCCAAGATTATATTTTTCCCCTCAATGAGAGATATAAAATCCAAGGTCATCTCAAGAACAACCTGCTAAGTAAACACATTGAAATAGCCACTGCCACAGAGCTGACTTGAAGCTCTAGCCCCAACCTCACAATATACAAGGTAGTTTCAGATAATGAAACAGCTGTAAGAGATGTTGTATTTAACAGGAGCACAGGCAGTCACTTCAGGGAGGTCAACTCCCAAAAACCCATCCCTGTTTTGCTCCTGGAAGACCTCCCACTGAGTAATAAGGCATTAGGAGCGCTTTCTTAAAAAATATAACAAAATTTAAAAATCTAACACAGCATCTTTCTGTTGAAAACACACAATATTATTTGCCTCACACAAAAAAAAAAAAAAAAAACAAACAAAAAAAACAACCAAACCTTTATCCTTTGTTGCCTTCATAGCCAATGAAGAATTGCTAGTGACGAAGATAATGACAGGGCATCACCATGATCAGTCAACTGGGCCCTGAATTTCTGGAAAATGGATGTAGCTACAGGTGATTTATACCTGCTGGCATTCTGGCCTGGCAATGTTTCACCTCCCTGCTGAAAGGAGGGCTAGACTATTTCAGGATCAAAGAAAAAATCTGCATGCTATAAATAAGGCATGTAACAAAAATCACTGAGCAGATTTGCCTAGCCAGCCATACTGCCAGTAGTCAACAAAGACACAAATAAATGGGTCAGTGGTATTTCATACTCAACTGCTCACTACAAGGAACTGTGGAGCTGAGACCAAAAATCTAAGATATAGCTATAATCTACCAAATAAAAGTACATAATGCTTTTTAAAATTTCATGTGGATCCCATTTTAGGTAACAAATCCCTGAAAAAGGACAGGGCCAGAAGAAGCAAGGTTTCTGTAAAACATTGTGTTCTACAAACACCTAAATAGAAAGAAATTGATGGGGAAGATCAAAATGCCTGCCTCCCAATCACACACTTGGGTGCAGATCCTTGACTTCACTCCCACTTCAGGCTAAGTCATCCCAAATCAGAGCATTGGCATTGTTCAGCTTGTCATTCTTCAGAGGGAACTGCAAGCACTTTCAGAAGCTGCCAGAGACACCTGCACATGTGCTGATGAGCTATTGTGTTACTTCTGTTGGTTAAAGAAGTATTCCTCCCCCTTTGAGGACGAATGAAGGTGATTCCCACCTGAACGTGCTGCACTTTGAAGGAAAGCAAATGTCAAGAGAGCTCCAGTTTCTGTGCCTAAAAGAAGGGGCTGACTGCAGCACACCAGAAGTGAAGGGCAGCTGTACTGAAAGAAATCTGAAGAGAAATGGAAGTCCCCAGGCTTAGACCCAGTCCTGGGGAGCTATTTAAGAAAAAGGCATTTTGGCCCACCAGACAGTTCACATGCTCACTGCAGGACATGGGAAAAAAAAAAGCAACTGTTCCACACCACTGCAATAACCACAAAATCCCAGCTCAGGAGAAGCTTAAAAAGGAGGACAGACATGACTCAAGATGAGAGCAGCACAAAGGAAGTCAAGTCTACAAAGCAGCGGTGGTGGGAGGTCTGATTTAGCCATGACACGTCCATCAGCCGTGTCCTACATCTTCACTTCACGAGGCATGCAGGGTGACTACTGGACAATGTTGAAAGGCAAATGCTAGGCTCTTCAGACACATTTGGCAAACCATGCACCATCTCATCCTCAGGAAGGCAAAGGAACCCTTTAAAGACCCTCAAAATAACGATGCTGAGAACTGACAGTGATGGAGAAACTGCTTGTTGAGACCAGCTGTTGAAACTGTTACGAAATGTGACTCCTCTGCCTTAGAAATACGTTCCATAAATACACAATTCCCAGTTCCCAATTCTTTGCACTCAGGGCAGATACCCACTTCAGTGAATAGTCAAGGTATGAGGACTCAGCACTTGGGCTTTCAGTGAAAAAGCCCAAGCAAGGACAAAAGGATGGGGTCCGTGAAAAGCTGGTGTTAAGTAGGAAATGGGGGCATCTTGTGGCCAGCTATAAAACTGCACAAGACGAGCTTGATTTTTCAGCACAAAAGTCTAACTGGCAGAAGTTCAATGAAAATTATAAAGGGAAAATGTCCTTCTGAAAATGTTTAATTTTAACTGCCTTTAGGGGTTTATCCCACATTTTACTGAGGCTGCTTTTATCAGTCCCCTCAGCGGTATTTGCAAAAAGCTGTTTGAAAGCTTTCTTGTTCATGCTATTCCACTTGCTATGAATATCGTACTCCCCCCAAAGTCAGGCCAGACATCCAGCTTTCCCTTTATCTACTCTGTGTTCCCATCACCTGAAAAGTGGCATTTTTGCTAGATCACTTGCAGTCAGTGTTTTAAGCAAAAACGGAGCAGCATCTAGAAATGTTGAAAGGCTATACACCTCCCTGACCCTTTAGCAAGCAGACGTGAGTCAGCTTGGTTCTGAAGCCCAAGCAAACTATCTCTCACAGTCTCTCTCACTCCACTCAGCATCACGCTAATGCACACATACTGCTCCTGGGCTAGCTCCAGTTTGCACCCAGACCCATCCCAGAAGCCCCCACTCTGAGTGATTGCAGCAATCAGACTGGAGTGTCCTGGGAGAAGGCTAACTTCAGCACCAGTGAAGTCCTGCTCCAACTTTTTATTCCAAATGCCCCAAACAAAACCGTTTCATAGTTGTCAAAACAATTATTTTGACATTTCTGAAACCTTTACTTTGAGGAAAGTATTGCAACATATTCAGACTTCATTTACCTTTGACTTAAAGTCAGACTTTATCTTAGCTCAGAATAGTTTTGATTATCTAGCAATTACTTCTTTTTGATCATTCCATTAATTTTCCATGTATTTCAAATTATTTCACAAAACTAGAGCAAGCAGGTACTTCCAGTGTCCTCATCTGGTTTCGAGAACAGAGCATGTAGAAGCCAGCAAGTAAGACCTGACTAACCAGGCAAGAGAAGACATAGTGCAGCAGCTTTCCTACTATCCCAGAGCAACTCCCAACACTGTTGTCTTACAAAGGTAACAGCCAGCAGCCACCAAGGAGATGGTCTGCTCTTCTGCAGCTATTTCTCTTATCCCAGCAGAAGTGCTCGTCCTCAGCTGGTTCAGAAAGCTAAACTAGCAGCAAAAAATTCACATTTGCTAGGGATTAATATTCTGCCAGTTTAGTTCCCTGAACAGGGCAGCGTGGTGGGCAGGGACATTCCTGCCCACTGAAGTGTGCCATGGGACCAGTTAGATACACTTGGCTGTAACATCAATCCCTATGTTTTGGTGGTTTGAACTGCCCCTTCTGACTTACCTGTGTGTCTCGTCAAACACACAGACTCCTGTGCTCCCGGCTAATCCCAGAGAGGGTGAATGCTTATCCCCTCTCCCTTTCCTGCCGTATGTATGGGCAAATCCAGAGGTGAAGGCACCTCCTGAGCAGTCCAGAAGTGAGCAATTAGTTCTGTGACTTGCTGTAGGCAGTTAGACGATGTGACATGCATCTGGTGATGACACGTTTCACAGCCTAACCCTGTACACCTTTCATTGCTACCACAGATGATACTTTACAGCTTCCAGAGGTCCCATGTGTTACCTGCCCAGTGCATTCAGACTGTAATCTGAACTACAGTCAAGTAATTACATTCAAGGAAGTGCATTCCCCTCGCTTCCACCATGGAAGTTGCATGCAGGGATCAATGGGATTACACCAGCACACTGTAAGTGTGAATCTTCCTGGTAATTTGTACACTGAACCCAGTACCTTGGTTGCTCCCAGCAAATGCCAGTGCACTGTCACTTAAGTCAGATGGGTTCTCCAAGCGACGTGGTGGTGGCTGCATCAGCTTCTGCCCTTCCTCGATGTGGGGATAGGTGCGCACAGTGAGACACAGCGACGGCTGAACAAGGGCATCTTTCAGCAAAGCTGGCTCCAGGTCCACAGCAGCTTTCTTGTTAATCTCCACAATTTCATCACCAGCTTTCAGGCCTGTGACACAGAAAAGAACAGGTAAGACTTGCACAGTAATGCTTCTGTTACCCACAGACATCAAGGAGCTCAGTGGGGTGTTTAAGAAGCACCAGACAGTGCTACATCTAGACATAAAACATTTATGACTGCAAATTATATTGAAATTTGATGGACTTTTTTGAGATCTATCGTCAGGCTGGTTGGTACTCCAGTACCATCCCTAAGAGCGCAGTGTCCAGGACATCCCTCACAACATACCAGCAACAAGATACCCACTTTTTCTTCACATCACTGTGCAAAGGAACAGCCACTGTACAGCAAGCCACCCTAGACAACATACTGCTCGCAAATAACTACATACAGAGGAAGAGAGTCAGTCTTCTGAGGCACTGCCCACAGGACAGGGGAAGGATGGTGTAGCTGGGCTGATTTGATTCTTGTTTTTAACCTTCCATACAAGTGAAGGCTTTTGTTGAAAGTGGGCACCTACCCATACACCTAGGTGGAGAGTAAACATTTCACACTCAGTTGCAGTGTACAGTGTAGGACTTCAGATACCCTCTTCTCTGGCCTTCTCTGAATCACATCCTAGCTCACAGATCTTCAAAAGGCAAATTTTAGCGCTTGGTAAGTTAGTCATGATTTTTTTTTTTTCCCAATCTGATTTCAGGAGTTATTTATAGCACCAGCACCCAACAGAAAAAGGGGATCTGCAGAGAGTAAACAGCTGACTCCTGCTCGCTTCAGGCGCAACAACACGGAGTTGCTGACAGATGACGTGCAGCCCCCCGAGGTGCTGCAGGAAACCTGACCTTCCCCTCAGCCAGCCGGGCCCACCCTCTGACTAACAGCAGCAAGCTGGACCAGAGTTTAATCTCAGATAATCTTGAGGCAGCAACATGCCAAGGCACACTGGTGCTGACAGCCCCGATCATCAGAGCTGCTCCTGACACTGCAGCTTTTGTCTCCACTTGAGGATGACACTGACAGTCCTCTGCAGGCATCCCCCAGGAGCTGGCTCACGGGGCACTGCAGGTGGGAATGCAGACTCTGCACCAACGGGACCACTGTGGCATCCCGGTCACCATCCTGGCACTTACAGGAGTTTACACGGAATTTATATGGCCAAAAGAGCTTCTGTGTGGGGGTGACCTGCCCTCAGGCCATACAGTCCAATTGCCAACGGGCAATCACTGAAGGTTGAGTCTTACCACCTTTGAATGGCCTGACTCGATGAGCATGAGCTGTGAAGAGAGCTCAGTGGCACCCTTCAGGAAACAGATCATCTACCCACATTCAAGAAAGAAATGTGGGAGGGAGGCGGCTAAAGAGCTTCTTTAGGAAAATTGAGATTTTTCTAAATGCATGTAATTGTGCCCAGAAACCGTAGCGTGGTGTGCAGTTTCAGAGAGAATAAAATAAACTAGATGGAATAGCTACAAAGTAAATGGACTGTAAAATCATATTTGCAACAAGGACAAAACAAGGCAAGTCAAGAATTTCACATTATTTCATTTATTCTACTTAGTGATGCCATGTCATAACAGTAGCACATTAATATGCCTGCAACCACAAACATCGTATCTGGGGGTTAATTTACTCTTTGTAGTCCCTGTTTGAATCATTTGGGATAAAGCATCACGCACGTCTCAGTACAGTCAAACACAGATTCCAACAGGGGTCTAGCTAATGCAGACCAACAGAAAAAAATAAAATTTTCCTAAAAAATTATTAGGAGAAAATAAAGTTTAAATTTTCTAATTGGAAGAAAGATTTAAAATTAAATGCTTTATCTCATCTGGTTAGACTTACTATAGTAAGTACAATCAAATGCAAACATGCATGTAAATAATGGGATGAAGAAAGAACTTTCCTCCCTGTTTTCTGCTAACTCTGGGTATCTTGTCACAATGTCCTGCCGAGTACTGCTCATACAGAAGTGGCATTTCACATCAGTCATTGAAGAGCAAGGCATCACTGAAAGCATGCTTTAGCACTTCAGCCCCACAAGAGGCAGTCTATGTTCATGCATTCATTTAAATTGTCGGTCAAACGTTAACAAGAAAGCCCTGCTGAAACCCTGCTACTCTTACCATCACATTCTCTTTGCTCCCACAGGAAACCTACAGGGTTTTATTTCCCTGTAGCAGGCTGACAGAGAGTCAACCCCCAGCCCCTGTTCCGGCTTCTGGAAGAAGACCAATGCTGTCAGCCAGGGAATCGTGTGGCACTGAGGTGGGGTGAGGAGGGACAGGAAAGAGAAAGATGGTCTTTTCAGACTGAATAGACATGTGCAGTGGCCTCCAGCACCACCTGTGTGATTTTTCTCAAGTTAGGGTTAGAGGCTACAGCTGAGCAAAACTCCAGGTTCCCTTCAGCCAGAACTATTCCCCCTTCCATGCCTCCTGCTTCTTCCTTCCCAGTTTCTGTCTGGGCAGTCCTGTTCCTCCCCCATGCCACCTGTGGCACTCACTTCACTGCAAGACAAGCCAACCCAAGTTGCTAGCAGGTCAGCCACACATTTCTGCCACAGCCACAGCAGTTTTCTATCAAGACAGTGAGCTGAAGCCGCTCAGCAGAGTGCCAGAGTCAGCACAAGGCTGCTGGAGCAGTTCAGGCGAGACCTGCCACCACTGCTTTTGGCAACAGCTAACTGTCAGAATAGGCTCTGCAAGATCATATAACCACTTGCCAAGAAAACTCTGAAGGTGTTTTTGAGGACTCTGCGTACGCTAATGTTATGAGAGTCTTCTCATTTTTCATGCTCCTCATGATATACTTTAAAATCTGTTTAGGTTTCAGCTGCCCAGCTCCCTGACCAGCCCATCCCATGACTGCATGAGCAGCAGTGCGGGCATTTTGGAAAGGGCAATGAATGGGAAAAGCAGCAAAGGCATGGCAGTGGCAGGGCTGACCTCAGCTTGGGTAAGGTGCAGTTAAGCCGTATCCTGCTCTGCCCTGGGTCGGGTCCAGCAGCCATCTCTGTTATCTCGGCTGGGTTTTGGTCCAAGTGTTGGCATGGCTTCCACAAATGCTGGAAGCAAAACTGGAGGCAGTGATCCCAGCCACAGAGAGCTCTATGATGACTTCTGCTGTACTCACTTATCTTGCAGTGGCTGACTTGAGAGGGTCCCTTCTCTTCTTTCTAGCTGACCCTGCTATAGATATAGCAACTCAAAATTAAAAAGAGGTCAACTACATAGCCTAGCTGATCCCAAAAGCAGAACAGCCACGCACACAGTACCTCAGGTTCTTCCCAAAAGACCATGACCTCTTGGACTGGGACCCTGGTCTGGTGTGCCTGCAAACCTCCCATCCCAACAAGCTCATCTCAGGATTAAAAAAAAAAAAACAAAAGGACTTTAAAAATGAGTCTTTTACCTTTCTGGAAAGCTAGGCCTGTCTCTTTGACGCTGTTCACGTAGAGCCGACGAGTCCCTTCTTCCTCCACGGAGGACAGAGAGAAACCTATGGAGTTACCCAGTGAGACAGTTAGAGAAAGCCAACCACTTCCTGCACGTCCTAACAACTGCACACAATACAGGTAAGGCTGTGCTGTCCCTGCAGTGAGCAGCTGGGAATTCCTCCCTTCTCCTTTCCCATAAGCCTTCACAAACATAAAGGAAAAGTTAAAAGGTGGAAGTGGCTTTAACAAAAACCTGAACTGAATTTCTGAGTTTATATATAAATCATCTACAGCTTTATTTGAGGAGATCACAGCTGCAAAATGTTGGAACAGTCTTCCAATTCTCTGGCCACAAAAGGCCACTTCAAGAAGTTTTGCTGTTTGCAGACAAAAGCTGCACAGAGATGTGGTTTATGACCCAAACTGGCAAAAAACAGAAAACAGAGAGCTAGGGCTGACATGACGTCCTGAACTCAGACAAAGCATAACAAAGCCTGCTAAAGCAGAATGCCAACTTTCACTTTTTTAAAATTCCTGGACAGGACGAATTTGTAAAAATGCTTCTTTCCCTTCTCCCCCTTTCTATTCTCAGCTGCCCCTGGCACGACCTGTTATTTGCTAAGTCTCAGCTCAGTGCACATTTTATAGCTATATTAGAGACCTGCAGACCAGCCTTGTAATGGAAGTACTGACACAGCCTAGATTTAAACACTGCAAATGGCACTGTTACATTTGGTTTTGGCGATTTTCCTGCCATTTGTGTTTGACGCTCTGAAAGATAACAATGTGTAAAGGAAATACAATGTGGTTAGATAAATAGGGTTTATTTATTTACTGTTGAGAGTTATCTAAAGCAGAACATTTGCCTTTCTGAAACTTCATTGCTCCCTAAACGGGTGTAGGTAACCATTTGGTCTCTCTTTTTCTGACTAGAAAAACATTCACAAATCTCTGCAAGGAGATGCTTGTTTGACATGGAATCAGCACCCACCAAGAGGAAGCAGATGTGCTGGGAACCTATTGTGACATTAGGACTCCTGTCAGGTTGGTGCTTATGGATGAGAAGTTATTTTTTCATCCATCATTAAAGAAAAGAAAGGAGGGAGAGGAGTGTAGCGGTGTAGAAGCGAGGAGCATATGGCCCATCGTGACTTACTGAGTTACTTGGAGTCTGTATGCAAGCTCCTCAGCCTGAACAACATGAAATTTGCGAAGCTCATTCAACACACCAGCTTTGGCAGAGAAAAATCTGTCTTGACTAAATGGAAGAGCAGCTATAAAAAAACCAGTAGTTATTGGCTGTCATTGCTGCAAAACCTACCTGGAAAATCCTTAACCAGAAGCATAGTGGAGCATGTCCAAGACTGCAGTTGGAGTCAGCACAAATTATCAGTTACTAATACCATCATCCTTTTGCAACTGAAATGCTGATTTGCAGCCAACTATCCTACAGTTAAAACAAGGCTGAGTTGTATCTCAAGTTCTCGCTGTGGCAGTCCCAACCTCCCATTCTCCTCCATGAGAAGACCTCTGCCTTCTCCAGTTTGTGAGGGCTAAGGACAGATGTAGTATCTTTTTAATTCAGCTTTCATTAAAGAAAAAAAACCAAAAAAGGCAATAAAGAAGAGCAGAATGGGTGTAAGGAGCAATTACATGTGCTGTCATCACCCTTAAGAGACGAGAGATGGGCAACTGGCAACAGCCTTGAAACAACCATCTCACAAATACACTTAACTCCTCTGTAGACAGGGTATGTGACCATACCCCAAGTAAGGATGAACTTTTATTGCCACAGCTGTGCTGTGACTGGATCCAGCAGACAATTTGAAGCAGCACTGCTGCCCCATTTTGGTGCCAGTGCTTTCGTTACCATGCCGTAAAGCAGAGCAAGGAACTCATCCAGATTCAAAACATCTCAGACAAATGTGTGTGTGTGTGTACATACGTGTATATATGCACTTGCACATAGATGCACAAACATGTATGTGTGTTTGTATATACAGATCTATAGTATGAATGTACAGTTTCCATCCAGGTGAGTTCTGCAGGCACTCCACACAAGCACATGTACCAACATTGCTTGAGAGAAAGGGCAGGAGTGGGTGGGAGCGACAGCAATTGCATAAGCTGCCAACGCTGCCAAAAAGATTATTATCAAACTGTGCATGGGCACTGAAACCCAGGTGTGAAGAGATGGGCGGTGACCCAGACAGAGCCTTTTCTTCACTGCAAAATTCTGATGACAGGAGAACAAAAGTCTGCATCTACAAGTGCACATGCCCTCACAAAACCAGCACAATACCTGAACAAATCTGCCTCCAGAAAATTTTGTCCAGCCCCCTGAGACAGACAGTTGCTAACAAAAATGACAGCGTGTTCCCAGTACATACAGAAGATGGAAGCAATAGGTTCTTACTGATGGTGCCCCCTGATTCCTGCCCACATGACCTTTGCAAAGAGGCTGGTACCAGTGACGGAGGCAGGAACATATCTGCCCAGGCATCAGCTACAGCATCACATTGACAGATCTAACACTGGCAAGGTCCAGCATGCTGGCCAGACATTCCAGGAGTGCCTCTTAGTACAGGCACACTGGTGGGAGTAGAAATGCTACAAAATGTTCCCCGGTGAGCTTTCCCTGAAGCACTCTGCTCCATCCTCTTCACGTCACTTGAACTCACAGGAGCTCTGCCACTCCCTGGCACCAGGGTCTCTTAAATCACCCAAAACAGCCTGCAAAGCCAGCAGACAGCTATTCACTTCTTTTATTATCGTTCTGCCTGGCTAGTGAGCTGAACTGTCCTGTCTTAACTGAACCCTTAGTGAAAGCATTTCACCTCCCTATCTTTGATACCGTGTCTGTGAAATGGAGATAACACCACTAAGTCTATATTGTCAGGATTAATGAATAGCTGCTTGTGAAGTATCTTGAAAATTCCAGGTGATTTACAAGTATTATTGGTGCTATAGCTGGAGTACTAGCAACAGCAACAGGTAATGTCACTAATTATTTTCATAATCTCATCCATTTTCAAAACGAAGACCTTTCCTGCTCTTCTTGGGGAATCAAGGCACAGGGAGTTTGGACATATGTTTTTAAAACTGAGAAGTATAGGGCTTGAAGAAAGCTGCACAGAAAAAAAGAAGTAATCATCAGAATAAGAAGTCCCTCAGCACTCCAGACATCCAGTTTTGGTATTGGCTCCTGCCCCTGTTCCCAGCACTCATTGAAGTGGTTGTGAGGGGCTGAGCCACCAGCGCTGCCCAGCTGAGAACCAGTCTCAAAGGCAGCCCTGCTCACACAAGGGCTTAGGCAGGTGCACAGGTGCTTGGAGAGTGTATGGTCACATTGAACCCATTGGTCTGGGTTCTTTTTAAAACAGAACCAGTAGCAAGAATTTTCAAGAAACCCACATAAGAATCTATGCTGAAACTCTCATCTTTGTGATGCCATAGCTTGTGGATGCACTGTAGCTTTCTTTCTCTCTGGGTTGCAGAAGTATGTGTTGGGATTGCTAATTCTGTAAAGAAACTAAAAACTAAAATCTCTAACGTACCTAACATCCCAGATGGGAAGGGATCTCAGGAGGAATCCTAGCTCTCCCCAGCACCAAGACAGGAAGAATGCTTCACCTCTGCTCCCCTGCACACACATATTTCAGCACACACTTGTCACTATATGAACACAGAGCAGGCTTCTGAGACACATACAGACTACAGAAATTGTGCTGCCATTTACAGCAAAAGTAAACTTTGCCATTTTCTTTCAATGAGAGCAAAGTCAGCTTTTTTGGGGTGTGTTTAGCATTCACTCCTTGCAGGGTCACAGCCACTGAACAGATACATCCCATGTTTCACACAGCTGATCTCATTTCACAGGATGTGACAATGCATTTCATGGTCTTTCCCATCTATCACTTAAAAAAAAAAAAAAAAAGAGAAGAAAAAGAAATAAACAGGAGACAGAAACACCACGACACCCAACACCCCTAACTCTTGCAGTGCTTCCAGGCACAGTGTAATGATTGAACCTGGGGCCATTGCCACGCTGGTTAATATTTCTTTCTCAGGCCTTCAATATTCAAACCACAGTCAACACCATTGCTTTGTAGCAGAGCTCAATATTCAAAGGGCCTGCAGCTGTATAATAAGCAGTTTGGGGATTCAGTATTATTCTAGTCATTAAAATAGAATATTTAGATAAACAGTAAAAAGATGCAGATTGCCTTCCTGCAGGCTAAGTTGCACTAATAACTTTAAAATACACTACAGAACTGCCAGACTAAAGGGCAAATTCACTGGGTTGGAGGCCTGTAGCTTGAAATACTTGAAAGCTAAGAAATACAAGCACCCTCACATAAAGATTAGGGATTTTGCTGAAATTACACAATGAAATTACACAGGGAGGACTTCTCCTGCTTTATGTTTTATATCTGTCAGATTCTGGCTCCAGGAGTTCATGAGGCATCCTTGAGGGCTGGGTGTGCACTGGGGCCAGGCTCCCCCAGCCTCAGGAATGTTGGGGAAAGACAGGGACCCACCTTTCGTGCCCCCAGCAGGAGAGGAAAAAGCACCTTCTCCTGGGACAGCTGCCTGCTGTAGACCTCGAGATGCCTCCCACCCACAGTGATGCTCCTGGCTGTATCCCTTTCACCTGCTTGGTGGAAGGAGTGAGGAGGGGAAAGCCTTCTAGGCTGCTGGCAGCAGCAAGCCACAGCAGCAGCCCTCTCCCAGTGCAAGATCCCTATGAACACCACAATGCAGGTATTTATGTAAGATGTGACAACTGGCAAAGGATGCTGTTTTCTACCAGTGCTCAGTTGCACAACCTCTGTTGGTGGTGTTTGAGAAACTACAGAACAAGAAAACATTTGTCTGTTCTGCCACCGTAGCTCTCATCAAAGAGCTGCACATCCTACAGGTCGTGCACCAGGAAAAACAGGGTTCAGTGCACTGCAAATGCAACTGTCCTGCTCCAGGAGAGAGCTTTCTGTGGATGGCACAGGAATCAGATGTGCTCTTCTTATTGTGTTCAACAGGCCTTTCAGATATATCAATGAATAGCAAGCAAGAACCTGCTCACACTAGAATTGATTTGATAGAGAAATAAAAAAGATCAAGGAGAAACTCACCATAAATATCAGAGGATGTATCAGACTTCTCTATTTGAATATGCTGTGTGATTTTCTGACAGATTTCTATTTCTTTGTACATCTGATAGAAAAACAAACACAAAAATATGTTACTGTGAAAGGACAAATCAATTGTAATAGATGTATTAGCAGTGTCACTAAGCTTTATTGTTAGAACACAGTTAAAGAAGAGGAAGCAATGTTTTACTACCACCATCATAAAAGCAAGGATACACCTATTTCAGTCGGTTAATGCCACGGTGAGTGCACGAGGAACAGAGCTTCTATCCCTGTCCTCTCATTTCATGAAAAGTCATCATTTAACGTTTTCATATTATTTTGATTAAGACATTGCAGGAATTCTACTATTTGCTAATGTTAAAACCACAAGTAGAGATTTTGTTTGTTAAATAGATTCCTTAATTGTTAGAAGACTGTCAGATTTGATATGCAGCTCTTTCTTAGCATAAAATTTCACCTTTAACACATTATTGTTTATTTATATCAAGGGAAGACCCCAAGTCTTTGAAATGGTCATTAACATTCTTCCTGGGAGATCAGCACCAATTCACACCCAGGTAATAATCCAGAAGCCTACACACACAGATGCAACTCACTCTGCCCTTCAGGAGCCAAGCAACCCCTCAGCAGTGCTACACACTTCCACCACAGCTCCCACATTTTGGGCTTTTAAATCACCTACATTCTCCTGTCTTGTGTGGCTCCTTATATTACCTGAGTCCTGCCCTGAACTCCGAACAAAGGAGCTTGTACTGGGGCACATCATCCCATCTGAGGCAGCAAAATCCTGCTTGCCCAAAGTCAGATATTTAGAGGCTCTGAGCTGTTTTCTCTGGGAGTCAGCCCTGACTTATTCCTTGTAAGAAACCTTGACACACTGGAAACCTCTGGCTCAGCACAGGTTTGAAGCTGTTTTTTCCACAGCCTTTAAGTAACAAACCATCCTTTTGTCTTTGGGGGAAAAAAAAAAAAATCATACCCACAGGTGAATGAGAGCCCACAAGTAAATCTTAATTTAATTTACATGCTACTATGAGTGTGCAAAAAAAAGCAATTCACAGCAACTAAGATTTTGAAGCTAAGTGACATCATTATTTGGACTGAAGTATTTAAACTATTTCTAAAAAAAAGAAGAGTAACTCATTAGTAAAGGGGTTCCTTAACAAAAATGTAATTTTATCTCCTGCTTGCATCAGCACTTATGCATCTGTCTAACTGCAAATGTTAGGTATAACAAAAGAGTTGTATATCCATTTAAATGGTTGTATATAGTAAAATTAAATGTAAAATTAAATGAGGATGCCATGCTGGCAGTATTTTTAAAATGAAGTTTTCAAATACAAGTCCTTCCAGGCAAGGAAGCTAAAATCTGTCTCCTTTGAGTATTAGCTTTTCTCAACTATATTTTCCTTCTCAGTCTTAGTACTCCACTAGCACTTTCTCACTCTGGTTTCCTTTTTGTTTGTTTGTTTATAGTGCTAATGGCAAATCTCAGAACTTCCTTCCTAAATGAACAAAAGCATCCATAACTAGTGAAGTTTTACTTTTTATAAATTAAACAGCCATCAATGAAAAGGACTTTAAAAAAGCTTTACAGCGTGCACGTGTAAAATCAGAGTTAAAGCATGACACTAATTCTGTTTGGTCTCTTTTTTTTTAATCTCTCATTTTAAAATTCCTTCGAAGTCTGCTTTTGAGATGAATGACATGAAAACATCCAACTGAAGCAATTAGGAAAGTATATTCTAAAACATAACTCCAGAGCTTTTTAACCTCAATGTTTACCTTCCCATTCAGGAAAAACAGTCCCCAACAAACAGATAACAAACAAAAAAAAAACCAACTACTTGTGCATTTACCCCCTCTTTATAAATCAGGTGAAGTGATCCGAACAAGAAGTACTCAGGCCTCAACACTGTCTCTGAAACCACCAAGGACAATATGAACAACAGGAAAAGGCAACCTTGAGAGAAGGTTAGCTTAAATATATGTTACAGTGACATTCACACATTACCTGTGGCTATTCCTCCCCTCTCTCTTCCACACATGCACATGCACACAAAAATAAAAGCAAAACACCAGCTCTCTCCTCAAGCTGAAATGCTTGGAGAGATTAAAAAGCACAACTCCGCATATTACAAATGTCAAATGTCAAATAAAAACTAATTAATAGTGTCCTTCCAAGTGTCATTTAATTTTGCTCAGTAGGTATCATTACCAGTTCATAGATATCCTCTTCTGGCTTTGGTACGTAAAACTGCATCTGGTTTTCAATCAGGAATTTAAGACGCAGGTAGTGAGCAGAGTGATCCAGCTGGTGTGCCTGCAAGAAATGGAGAAGAGGCTTCAGCAGAGAAAAGCAATGGCTCACATCATCTGTGCCTAGAGAATGTCTTCACACTCGTAGGAAGAAAAATGCCCCAGCACTGTCTTTCACAAGAGGCCCATGATCTCCCAGCCTGAACAAGAACCTGAACCCCCTCCTCTTCCCCAGGAATAAGCCATCATTTAACCACCAACCAGGCTGTCAAGGGCGGTTCTAGTACTCCAAGCACCCTTTTTGGTTCTGCTTATCTGGCAGTTCTGCCCCCTCCCATGCTATTGCAGAACACTACTACAGCAGAAGGCTTAGAGCATACCTTTGTATACAAAGGGCATCTAAAATTGCAAGGAGGAAAAGAAATGTTCTGCTAACAGAGAAAAACATAACAGGGAAGTTTTTTTCAGTTTGTTTTGTTTTTTTTAGCATCTTCATAATTCAGTGAGTAAGTAAGATGTGATAAATTTCAAGCAAGGTTAATATAAAAAAAAAAAAATTCTATGTCCTTTAAATTCAAAACAGCTCAGGATACACTGGTTTTATAAGGCTAAAAGAAGCCAAGGGTTGCATACTGGATTATATCCCAGTGGAAACAGGTCACATCATTTTAATGAATTAGTTGTAATTAGCTGAGAATACAGCATTTGGTCTGGGAGATGTTAATGACCTTTTCTCAGCATGATTAATAAGCCTGATTTAAGCAGAGGTTAATGCAGTGTGTAATCAAAACACATTAGAATTATGATAAACACAAAGGATGTCATTCAGAAGTTACTTTCAAAGTTCGTAAATTGTTGAGCAAAGAGAATGACAAGCCCCAAAGCGGTTCACAAATACAGGAGGTAAATTCTCCTCACTGTCACTTTTGAAATCCCATTAATACATGCTTTAGTACCTTGGCCTTTTCATTTTATACGAGCAAATTGCCAACCTTTCCTAGGTTGTATTAAAAACCATGGGTTATCCAAAAATTCATGTGAGAACGTCATCATTGCCTACTTATTATGTTTTTTAAAGCCTCGCTTATCCAGTTCAAGCCAAGATGATGATACACAGGGACTCAGCTGACTGAGCACACAGCACAGATGATGAGTAACATACACCGAGTGACCTGTGGAAAAGATCACACACTGACCTAGCAAACCCTTCAGCAAATACTCAGAGAAGAGTGAGTGTTTCTGGGAGTCAAGATTAGCCCATGAATAAAAAACAGCTACCAGTAAGAAAAAAAAAACAACCAAACAAAAAACAGATCTATTGCTGCACTCTACATAGTGTTACATTCAGATATGTCCAGTTCAAAGACCACATTATTCTTATGTGAAACAAGTATCACAGATGCAATAACCTTCATAATCTGGAAAAACTATTTTAATTAAATAAAGAATCTGAAATCTATCAAGGGCCAAAATAAAAAGAGCTGAACGTAGAAGATCCTTGCCCTTTCCCCTTTTTTACTAATCATTCTGCACGCTTTGCTCATTGCTTACTGTTTTCCCTAGTTCTCTCTCTTACAAGCACAACGTACAAACATCCCAGGAATCAATGGGAAACACAATTGGCTTTAATCGTTCAGAAATGATAGAGAGAAGTCCTGGATTAGTTTCTGGTGAGATTAGTTTACTATCCCTAGACACAAACTGAAGAGCACCTTGCACACTAGCTAAATAAAAACATACAGAGGAGACACAAGCCCAAAGACTGCACAACCCACCTGCAGAGAGCAAGTTTGTGGTAAGTCTCTCTGCAAGTCCATGAAACGATTCAGCCATTCACAGCAAAGCCACTGGGGAAAAATTCTATGTGGAAAAACCATACTAGCAGAAAAAGGAGCTTAGCAGCCTTCTCCTGCCACCACGGTGCATCTTCCCACGGTCTCTGGTGGTGAAGCTCTCACACACATGCAGCATTTCATGCAGTGTCAGGCCATGCTGCTCAGCCAGAGCTACAGTGACAAGCTACATGTCATCAGCTAAAGCCCAGGGTTGGGAGAGAGCCCCCATCTGCAGCTGGCTATTCGTGTCATTTCCAACAGAGACTCTGTCCTCCCCTTGGAAAGGAGACCCACAGGGACGCTTTCCAGCCTGCCCCAGGCCAGCAGAAATCACAACCTGTTGTAGAGGGACATGAATTTACCCAGTCTGGGGCCTCCAGCCACAGGGCACAGGCCAGGAGCTGCCTTAGCTGCACTGTGGGGCAGGAAGCTCATGCTCAGCCACCCCAGGCTCTCTGAAGGGTCGGGGGCACACACTCCCACCACCCCCAGTTCAGAGCCACCACCTGCCCTGGGGCAGGGGCAGGGTGGACTCACACCTACCTGCAACTTGCTCTGCAGCCTACACCCTGATAGCATCTTGAAAGAGCAACCTTCCCCACAGGCAGACGCTTGATCTACCATGCTGGTGGTCAATGACAGGGCTTCTGCCTGCTTTGATATGGGCACTGCATCAGGTGTGGAGGTGCCCACCAACACCTCCATTTTCACACCTGTCTTTGTAGGGAGACTTCCTGTGTGCTGGCCATTTCAGAGAGCAGGAGGGAGTCAACCACAAGATGACCAATGCTGCACTGAAGCCCCAAACTATGCCTGAGCACAGTATCATCTAAAGAGGTCACTGGACAAAACACACATCTATTCTGAACTACTTGTTTTTCCAAGAAACACCATCAGCCAGGAGGGATGTCATTCATCCACTACCTTGCAATCCCATCCAAGGCAGGCAATGAGAGTCATTACCATAAAAGCTTCCATGGTGCAGGATGAGCCACACCATTTATTTAATTAACATTTGTCTACCTCGGAATTTTACATTAGTTAAACTGTTTCAAATAGGGTCATGCTTTTCTACTGAAGCGAAAGGAAAAGGTTCTCTCTTAAAATGGACATAGCCAGCCTGCCCTAAAAGCTGTACCATTAACCCACATTTTTGCTGCTGGTCTAGCTACATCCATATGCAGGAAGGTGGGAGAAGAAACAGGGCAGCTTTAATGATATTAGTATCTCTTTGAGACCACCCAAAATATCTTTAAGCAGTCTAAATAAGCTTCTTGGTTTATTTATTTCTCTCCTAATAACCCTGGCTATGTCTGGACTAAACTAAGCAGCTAACCCAATTTAAAGCACAACCGATAACTTAACCGATGTGCTCACGAAGAAGAATTTACAGCCTGGGGTGTGATCCAATTCAAATGGCTTTGCATGGGGTAGTGGGTCAGCACACAACCCAAACTACTCATCCATATCAGCTCCCTTATAGCTGAAGCAAGGAACAGGTATATTCTTTCAGTTTGATGAGGGAGACCTTCATTAGCAGGGCAGTGACAGCATCATGGAAACACACTGGCCATCCCACCATTTTACTCTGCTCTCGCACTTGTGTGGCCCACGCTTGTTCAGCA